GTTATATATTTTTAACTGATATTTTTTATCTATTTTTTATTGATATTTTTCAATTATTTTTATTGACATTTTTTATTTATTTTTTATTCATATTTTTTTATTTATTTTTTATTCATATTTTTTATTTATTTTTTATGATCGTAGGCTGTGGAGAGGATGAAGGAGGAGATAGGTAGAGAGTTTCCTGATAAGTCCGTCATAATAGAGTACATGCTCCTTGACCTCAGCTCCTTCCAATCAACCAAAGATTTCACCGTTGCCTTCAAGGAGAAGAACATTCCATTGCACATCCTCATCAATAATGCTGGAGTGGCATGGCTACCGTTAAGTGAGTGATAGTTAATTATGCTAAAGTTTTGGAGCAACTTTAAAAATTCATAAAAAATTCAAATTTGATTGGAATCAGTTCAAACTTTCTACACAACATAAGTACATGTATATGCATCAGAAGCAATTATAAAAATGGAGAATTCTCTCCTTTTCATTTTTGGCGAAATTTGGCCACACACCCTGTACTATAGTACAGGGACTTTGGTCTGATTTTGGAGCAGCTTTAAAAATTCATAAAAAATTCAAATTTGATCGGAATCAGCTGAAACTTCCTACACAACATAAGTACATTATATGCATCAGAAGCAATTATTAAAATGGAGAATTCTCTCCTTTTCATTTTTGGCGAAATTTGGCCACACACCCTGTACTATAGTACAGGGACTTTGGTCTGATTTTGGAGCAGCTTTAAAAATTCATAAAAAATTCAAATTTGATCGGAATCAGCTGAAACTTCCTACACAACATAAGTACATGTACATGCATCAGAAGCAATTATTAAAATGGAGAATTCTCTCCTTTTCATTTTTGGCAAAATTTGGCCACACACCCTGTACTATAGTACAGGGACTTTGGTCTGATTTTGGAGCAGCTTTAAAAATTCATAAAAAAATTCAAATTTAATCTAAATCAGCTCAAACTTTCTACTCAAAATAAGACCATCTAGTCAATACCATGCAATAGGGTTTATAAGTTATAACAGTAGATTTTTCTTTTGTTTATCATCATCACCATACAGTAGTATTACTATTACGGTATGTATTATCTGTAGCAATGACAGAGGATGGATATGAAGCTCACTTTCAGATCAATCATCTCAGCCACTTCCTATTGACACTGGAGCTGCTCCCTGTTATGCTTGATACTGCTGAATCATGTAAAGACTGTAGGATTGTCATAGTCTCTTCAAGGTTACATACCTCCGCGGAATTCACACCTGGAAACATGAACGCTGAGCAAGAATATTCTAGAACTAAATTCTATTCAAATTCTAAGCTTTACAACGTAGGACCCTACATTTTTGACATTGAAATCATAAATATTATTTGATTTTTTTTTAATTTTAGGTCATGTCAGCTTATGCATTGCAAAGAAGATTAGAGAATGTGGGCGTGACCGTCTCTGTGTTGCATCCTGGATCTGTAAGTTAATTAATTAATTAATTGACTCTTTTATTAATATGTATGTACATGTAAATGTAATGCACATTACTTTTTTGTATTTTTATATCTTTTATGTACATGTAGGTAGAGACAGAGCTTGGTCGAAACACTGCCGATAGCTTTTGGTTAAACTTTTTTTATAAAGCATACAAAGTAGCCATGATACGTGAGTCTACATTGTTATCCTTCTCTCTCTCTTTATTATCATAATATTATGCTCTTGTTAAGTCCATTTTGTCAAGCTTGGTTGATTCTTTACTGGCCTAGCCTGTTAGATATATGTTGCATCAAGAGTATACTCTTGGTTGCATGTATGTCAACTGTGGTCTTATTATCAGCAGCTGGTAGTTGTTTTTCAAGTGTCATGGTAGAAGTTTGTTATACACCTCGGTATAGGTTTCTATAGCATTTATTAACCTCAAGACTGCTCGATCAATTAATAAATACCATAGAAACCTCTACCTCGGTGTATAACCTATACTTGTTCTCGTTATGAGCTGTAATCTAGTCTATAATGGCAATTGAGTGTACATTGAGTCTAATTATATTTACACTGTTCCTCCAGTTGTTAATGAATATCAATAGTTCTGATATCAAACAAACAAATTAACTATAATAACAACTGCCAAGCCACTACTTGTATGTACAATTGTGCATGTACTTGTACATCAATGCTATACTGAGAGTATTTACTGAGGTTCGCATGTATTATTATTATTATTTATTATTATTATTATTATTATTATTATTATTATTATTAATAGCTGTCATTCGTGATGCACAGAAAGGTGCAGCCACTTCATTAAATGCTGCTGTTAATCCTGACCTCAGCTCTCAGAGATGTTTATATTTTACTGATTGCAGCCCAACTCTCTCAAGCTCTCTGTCAAGGTACAGAAATTCATTCATTCCCTGTCAGTATTATTACAATGAAATGATGTCAATCATTTCTGTGTATATGGACCAGCCTATGTTCCTGTCATAACATATGTATTGGAAATGGAGTAGCCAGTATGCTGGTTATTTGTACTTAATCTCTTACTTGCTGTAATTGCTTGTCTTGTTATTTAACTTATTGTAATTGTGTGTGAGAGAGCCTCAGAATGATGCTGTATTGATTGGAGGCTTAGTTTTAAAAGTGAGAATCTTTGCATCTTTTCAGGGAATAATATTTTTATTAAAAATACCCAAGCAGTGTTTGGCATGTTTGTAGCATGTTATCTTATTTTGTTGTTCTCTTAGTTGCAGCAAACAATGTTTCCCCTTCCTTTTAAAAGCATGTCCTTGTAGCAATAACCACATTTAAATCATACCAAGAATTCCTCATGGCTCCTTTGTAATAATTTGTGGTCATCATTTATGTATATATTGAACACTGTGTTTACCAGTGTAGTCATTGAGCCTCCAAGAAAGGCCAAATTGAATGTTTGTTTACATTATTATTGTCCCAGCCCTACTCTAAATTAAGCTCTCTCTCACTTATTAATGCAATTCTGAACCTAATATCACTGATGTTGTGTACATATATATGCACAAGCTATGAATTGATGATCAGTTATAAAGAGACCCAGTGGTATTATTGACAAGATAATGATATTCATGTATTGTGAAATAAAGTAAACAAACAATTGAGGGATTATATTTCTATGTATTGTAATGATAATGTCATACATGTAATTGATTAAGGCTATTATAATTATTATTATTTTCTCTAAAATTATTATTTCAGAGATTTTAAATCCCAAGAGCAGCTGTGGGAGATAAGCATGAGCATCATCAAGGAGTGGCTGAGCTGGTCCATTCATCAAAAATACAGTCCGACTATGGGCCTTGTCGAAGAAGAGGTGGGGTTTTCTGACAAGGCACGCCCACTTTCAGATGACAGCACAGAGAGAAAGGAACAGGTCAAGATAGAGGAGACTGGTGAAGGCACACCCATGATCACTTTTAGGGTATCGCGAGAAGTGACGGATGAGGGAGAGTTGGAACCAAACGGGACTTCATAGCCTAGTGTAGCACTGCTATCCTTTATGTGCAGTATCTGACAGACACTGCACTTAATCTATATTGCGTGATGAGACTTACACAAATGATATGGCTGTAAAATAAATACACAATAAAACTAATATTATTTTTGTTATTATTATTTTTGTATAGTGTGAATATTTTTACTTGATTACATTTTTGTTTGTTGTAAATTGGGATCACGTGATCCTTTTAAATGAGCTGTGGGGCCCGGGTTCGGTCGTCGATACAGTAGAGATTAGAGAAAAGGAACAGGATTTTTTTTCTAGTACATGCCAGCCAGCGTACTAGCAGAAGAGGAGAAGGAAAAGCCACAGACTACAGCTCTACCTTAGCATAGTCCCCATATCTCCAGTATAGGCTGCTGTCACGTCCCGCTTCATCACAGTTTAATCTTCAGTGATCATGGCTAACGTTTCTCAGGACATGATCTTGGAGTATATCCAGAAGAAAGGAGGCCGAGTGAAGAATGTGGACCTTGTGAAGCATTTTAGAAAGTATCTTCTCTATGATGACCCGAGAAAGAAAGGTTAGGAGTCTTTCCCCATCTTTCTTCTTTCCCTCTCATATTTGTACCACCACCACAAAGCTCCCTTTAGTGTCTACCCTCCTTCTCTCTCTCTTTCTCGTTTTTCTCCTCTCCCTCTCTCTTCTTCCTCTCTCTCTCTCTCTCTCACTCTCTCTCTCATAATTGGAATATAAATTGAGTGTGTTAACACTCGATTAGACAGATGGTCACACTCCTCCTTCTCCATTTTTCGAAAGTTTTACAATTACCTGTACATGTACTGTATATCAGCATTTGTGTACATGTGGTATATTTTGGTCAGATGTATTCTCAAGTGTTGGATAAGATTTATTTATTTTTGTTTGTGTGTGTGTTTGTGTATTATAATGATAAACAAATAAATATTTAGAAATTGCTTTCTTTTTTTTTCATCATTTCTTTTCTCACTCACTCTCTCTCTCTCTCCTCTCCATTAGATCAAGCTAGAGAGATATTTAAAGAAACCGTCAACACCGTCGCATTTATAAAACAAGAAGAAGTAAGAAATGCAACACATACAGATCCTGTACTATGAACACCATAGGGCTACGATGCAGTACTTGTATCATTTAATGTTGCATGCAACACAACACACATTAATTGTTTGTGTGGTTGTTTGTGTGTACAATCACTGTGCCATTGTTTCCAAGCAGAATTGGCTTGAGTCAACATGAATGCACTTTTTAATGCATGTATGTGTATTTTGACCTATTCTATAATGAAAGTTAGAAATACACAAAAAGAATGGAAATAAATTCAGCTCATAATGGTTTCGTTTTTAGTATACTATTAGTGCCCAAATATTATTTTAATTGCTGTTTTTAATGCAATTCTTAATTATTTTAATATAATCATTTGTATGGTATTTTAATGTAAAGTGTTATTCGTGCATTAACTAGTGTGTATTACATGTGAATGTGTGTGCCATATCCAGGCGTCATTGGATTTATTAACTGTTGTGTGTTGTCTGGCTGTACCAGAGTAATGAGAGATCAAAAGGAGCATCGACAACAACAATTGGATAATTATACGATTACGACTTTTCCCATTGGGAGCAAGATGGCTATGAGGAATAATAGTCTCAGAAAGAGAGAGAGAGGGAGGGAGAGAGAGAGAGGGAGAGAGAGAGAGAGAGAGGGAGAGAGAGAGAGAGAGAGAGAGAGAGAGAGAGAGAGAGAGAGAGAGAGAGAGAGAGAGAGAGAGAGAGAGAGA